ACATATTTTTCTGCTCTGAGTTGGATTTGAAATTATTAATTCATGAAGATCAAAGTATCACCAACCCCAACAAAGTCAACTCCATAAAGGGAAAAAAAAAATATTATACAGAGAGCATCAATGGGTTGTTACACTACTAGTATCTCCCACCCTCCCCCTCACCCTTGACCCCCCCTCTCTCTACAAATGTGTATACACAATTAGGTACTCTTCCCTCCAAAATTTTAAAATATAAAATATTTTAATAAAAATAAATTTTTATTAATAATATTTTTTAATATCACTTTTTACATATATTCTCCCTCTCCTTAATATTTTTTTTATAAATGAAGTATTAAGTGAAAAATATTTTTAAAAATTTATATTTTTGTGTTGAAAATGTAAAGTTATAAAATATATTTAATTAACTTTATTAATATATGTAATTTTATTTAAAAACATCTCATGAATTAAAATAAAAAAATACATATACACGTGATCATATATCTTCCTCAATCTTATTTATAAAACATGTCAGCGATTTTTTATTGTAATTTTTTTATTCTTTGATAAATATTGATAAAAAATATATTGTTAAAGTATGTAGTATATTTTAACAGTGATAAAATTAAAAAATTATTAAATTTTTAGAAACAATTAATTATATTTTAAAAAAATTCTTATTCTTAATTGGATGGGGTTTTGAACGGGCAAAGTTGCAATTGGTAAACAATTAACGTACGGCACTTGCAAAAAAAAAAAAAAAAGACCAAGTTACCTACGTAGGACTGCATGAAAGTTCACACCCACGTGGTATCATTTTCTTTAATCTGTTTTGTTGTGTTTGAATCTCTCAGCTTTAGGTCAACCACTATTAGCAGTGGCAGTGCTGTGGGAGCATGTAGCCGTTGGATGGGCTTAGACTCATCGGACGGCTGTGGTAGGCGAAGATGAAAAGAAAGAAAAGAGGTTCACGTCTTTATATGCAGTCAACCAATTTGGTGGCACTAGAAACGTTGAAAACATTATTGTTGTTTACATCAGCATCATAAATGTCAAAACCCCCCAAAACCCCCAACCCTGTTTCATTCAATTGCGACCTCATTAATATCAATTCCTCAACCACCTTTACGTCTCCAAAACTAATTGGTATGTACAGTACTGATATATTTTTTTGCTGTGTGTACTCCCTCTCGGTTGTAATATAGGACACCGATAAATATTTTATGGTTTTAAAAAAAATTAGTCAAAACATTAATCTTTTAAATTTTTTATATATTTTCAATTACACTTTCATTAAATAACATATAAAAACACTTTAATAATGATAATTGAAATAAATAAAATAGGAAATATAGTTAAAAGAATAATTATAAAAATTATTCAATGTCAATATTATTAAATAGAATTTCAAAAGATGTCCTGTACTATGATTTGGATGGATGAATTGTATATCTTTATATTTTTTAAATGCCCATATATGTACTATTAGATATTTTGAAAGTTGTGTGCATTAAAGACATGATGAGTCCATTGTATATGAGTTGATTCCTTATTCTTTTATCTTTCATAGTATATGGAGATACAAAATTGACTAGTCATTTTAAGGATAAGTGTGGATAATATAGTTTTTTTATCTAGATAATTCATATGACATTGAGAAGTTTTAAATTTTATTTTTAAGCTGTTCAAATTTGAATTTTTTTAATTGTAATATAAATGGAGATATTTTGAACTTTTATTTTCTTTTAAAAAAATGATAGTTTAAAATAAAAAAGTTAGGCTTTGAATTATTTATTATTCATATTAAATTTGAATAATTCAAAATTATTTCTAACTGTAACCACCACATGCGTACAGACCGTTTCTCTCCATTCATGCAATCGTAGGCTGTTGTATTGAATTTAATAGTTTTTAAAAGTATGAATTTATCTATGTCATTAAAATTTAATTAATTCATAAAAGCTAGAGGTAAGAGGATGCAAGAGCGATTACTCTGGATAAAAAATTTTAAGATATCCAGACTAACAGGGATTAAGTTTAATAAAAAGAATTAGTCCATCACAATGTGATAAATTAAGGTTTGAATTTTTGTTAAGAGAAGTATTCACATTTAGTACTCAATTGTATTTTAAATATGATTATCTTCTATATATGAAAGTATTTTTGGGAGCAATCAAAAAATTTAAGATATCCTGAGCGAAAGGGGAAAAAATGTATCAATGCATATATGCTTAGACTTAACAAAAAATGATCCGTTGAGTATCTCAATGCTAATAAGCAATAATGGTGCCTTCCAAGGCAACATGAAGATGTACATAGAGAATAGAATCAACTGGACGTTCTCGTCTCGCCAAATTAAATAGTGTTTTTCCCCCCTCTATGGTTTGACATATATGTGAACTGTGTGAGAAGATTATCAGCATATTTTGGTGATTTGGTCTGATTGCAAAGTAGTAATATCTGATTAATTTATATATTATTCCCTCCTAATGGATGATGTGCTAGAGATTCCCAAACCACGAATATTATTGGGTTAATACTAGCATCATGCTTCCCATGGTGCTTTTGTATCATCAATTTTCATTGATATGACTGGCCAAATTAAAGTAGGGTTTGACCTAACCAAATAGCCTATTCATAGTGGAGTACTTATGCCAGCCAGTATTTGATTATCACTACTTTTGTCTCTGTTTTATATTGTTGCTTTTTAATCTTCCAATGGGAATCCAATTCCCAAACATTTCAAATAACATATAAAGTTCCATGGTGCTATAATATCTGGGGTCAACCATGAACAAGAAAAAGAAAAAGGTGTTTGGGGAAGAGCGAAAGAAATTTCATGTGAGAGGTCGATCGCTTCAGAATTAATTTTCTTTAGTTTATAGTGGAATCTATCATGTGCTATATAGTAATGATCAAGTTCATATCTCCAAGTCAACATATAATAATTAACCTCTTAAAATTGGGAAAGAACAATTCCATCTGATCAATTCGTTTCAGAAACTTCAAAAGCCAACTTTGGGATACATAGAGTTCTATTCTATAATCCAGAAGATTTAATTTCTCTTACGTTGCCTAATTTTCTTTATTTAGGTACCATATATGCATGCATGCAGGGTCTAAAAGTCAAGATATTCACAAATCAGGAGTTGTTTATAAATTAAATTAAACTCCCAATTCGTTTTCATTCAATTCAAATCAGGAGTACTATATAGCACGTTATAGCTAGCGTATTATCATAAGTTAAACGTACACCTTGACATTGACAACAACTAATCTTAGCGTGGGAAAAAAACACATGGATAAATTTTTTTATTTTCTAGAAGCGCATTCGATCGATCTTTAATTTATTATTTAAAATCCAGTCTAGGTCTAGCCTATAGCTAATCTATACTAATTTGCCTAAGTGAGAATAATTTTAAAGAAATAAATGCACTAAAACAAATTCTTGCAGTCCGTCTTTTTAAAACCTAAGCTAAATTCATAGACAATTACATTACAGTATTTATAAATTATGATCCACAACCTAGTATTACTTCGACTACAAGGCCACCACATTTTAGTTTCTGAATTATGAAAAAGGATATGCTCATTTATTTTACCAACAGTAGAAACCTAAAACTTGTTTTTAATGAAATAAGAAACTGCTGTGCTGGTAGTGGTTATAATGTTTTCTTTTTCAAATTACATTTTTTTACATCTAAATAAAAACAAATGGAAAAATCAACATGAAGATTTATTTATTACACGACAGAAGTTGAAGGGGTCAACATGAAACACACGTGTATTTTTACCATTTTCAAAATAAATAAAGTAAATATAATTTTAATCTTTGTACTTTACTTACATTTTATTTTTAATTTTTATATTTTTTTAATATTTAAGTTTTTATACTTTTATTTTTTATTATTTTTTGTCCTTTCAAGATTTTTATACTTTGCTTATAGAGGAATTGAAAATAATAAAAAATAAAAGTATAGAGAACTAAAATATCAAAAAAAAATATAGGAATCAAAAGTAAAATGCGAATAAAGTCCATGAACTAAAAGTAATGTTTATTCAAATAAATATTAAAATTAAATAACTGATAAATTATCTAAGAAATTTTAATATAAAGTGAAGAAAAATTAGGTAAATATAATATTTTAATTTATACATATTTTTTCACCTTTTGCATTACTTCTTATCTTAAACTACAATGATTTTTAATGTGCTATTCCCTCCATTTAATATTATGAGACATTTCTTAAAATGATTATATTAAAAAATATAAGACATTTTAAGTCTTCTAGGTTGCAATTAATAAAGTTTTTTAAAAAATACTCTTAACTAGGGGTGTAATTAATAAAGTTTCTTAATTGAATATTCTATTAAGTAAGGCTAAATATGAAAATTGTGTATAATTTTAAAGACATTTAACTAATTTATCAAGAATGTAATCTAGTTAAAAACATCTTATAACACTAGAGAGAGTGAGAGATAAAATTACTCTCTTTGATCCAGAACATAAGCAATTTCTCCATCCAATTTTAATCCAAATTATAAGCAATTCAGTATTTATAAAAAAAATTTCCTACGTTACATTTTATTTGTATTAATTTTGATTTTTGTGTTTGTAAATTTATGGACTTCTTCTCACGCATCATAAATTAAAATTTAAAATAAAAATAATATATATTTTTTTAAAAATAAAAAATTGTTAACATGAGAATTATTTAAAAGATGTTTATATTTTCAACAGTACTACACGGTTTTATACTTTAGAACACGAAATATAAATAGCTGTGGTGTTATTCAACTGCGTTGACCTGGCAACTGGAGGAAACTTCAAGCGTGTGGGAGTGTAAATTATTTTGGTTCACTCGTCGGATTGTCCGGGTGGTTTCTGTGGGCTTTCGTATTGGGGTAAATGGGACCCACCACAACCCCTTCTTTGGACCTTTACAGTAACACTTGTTTTGTCGTCGCCTGCTTTTCCCAAACACAAAAAAAATATATATCTAATTATTCAACTCCAACTAATCTTTACCCTTCCCATTGACGAAGCTCCCTTTGACTTCTCTCTCTCTCTCTGTTTTAAAGCCTCTCCCTCTCAATCCCATCTTCTCCAATCCATCTCCTCTCCTCCTCCTCCTTGCCCGGAGCTCATGGCTGTGGATCTCGTAGGCCTTCCCAGGAAGATGGAAGAACAGATGGCTATTCAAGAGGTTGCTTCTGCTGGCTTGAAGAGCATGGAACATTTCATTCGTCTTCTTAATTCTTCTGACTCTGCCCCTTCTTCTGATAATCCCCATCGTCTCGACTGTACCCATCTCACCGACCTCACCGTCTCCAAGTTCAAGCAGGTCATCAACTTACTCAATCGCACAGGTCACGCTCGCTTCCGTCGTGCTCCTTCTCACAATCCCAATCCTCCTTCCTCGTCTCCTTCTGCTCTTCCTAATCCGTCCCAATCGGACCGCCTCGCTCTGAATTCGGTTCACTCTCAGGGTTTGACCCTTGATTTTGCCAAGCCCTGTAAGGTCAAGACTGCGCAGTCCAAACCTTCCACCGAGTTATCCGTGTCTCAGTACTCCAAGGACACCTTTAGTATCTCCCCTCCCATTTCGACCACCAGCTCCTCCTTTATGTCTTCTATCACCGGAGACGGCAGCGTTTCCGACGGAAAAATAGGTCCCTCCCTGCTTCCTCCGCCCGCTCCCGTCGTCTCCGCCGGTAAACCCCCTCTCTCCTCGTCTCACCGGAAAAGGTGTCATGATTCGGCTTTCTCTGAGAAGATTTCTTCCTCCGGTCACTGCCATTGCTCTAAGAGAAGGTATTTTATATTTTGCATCCACTTGAAAATTTCAATTTTCGACTACGATGTGCGAATCGTTATCGAAGTCGGTAATTATTGACAAGATCTCTTTACGTTTTTTTTTTACAGGAAATCTCGAGTTAAAAAGACGATCCGCGTGCCGGCGATAAGCTCGAAGATGGCCGATATTCCGCCGGACGAGTTTTCTTGGAGAAAGTACGGTCAGAAGCCTATCAAGGGTTCGCCCTACCCTCGGTATGAATCCATCCCTTTTTCATTCTTTTTTTCCTTTCAGCATCACCGCAAACAAGTTGAATTCGTCAAAGTCAAACACGAATCTCTTAACTCTTGCAATTTTTAGTAATTATTAAAATCAAATTAATTCATCCCAAAAAAAAATTCTTATGTGTTTCTGATCTAATTATTATTTTTCTGGTATTACAGTGGGTATTACAAGTGCAGTACCGTGAGAGGCTGTCCGGCGAAAAAGCATGTTGAGCGAGCCCTAGACGATCCCAAGATGCTGATCGTGACATACGAAGGGGAACACCGTCACGCTCCGGAAGCGCGTGCGGCGGAGTGCGGCGGTGCAGGCATCACTCTTAGCCTTCAGGCCAGTTAAACGACGGCACCGAGTCGAAGCAAGCACCGTCCACCGACGAGGCACGTACGTTCGAGCGAACCTTGACGGAAGAAGATACGTTTTGTCTTGTAACTTGTGGACGAGAAAGCGGAGTCGTCTAAGAGTTGATAAGGTTTTCTTCGTGTAAATTTGACCCAAAAAAAACGGTGAAGGATTAAAAAAATGAAATACAAAAATTATATTTTCATTTTTTTTGTTCCGGAGAATTGATTTATTCATTAATTGAAGAGAACGGGAGTGGGGCCCAGTGTTTGGTTGCTTTAAACATGATTGGGAGGTCGAAGTTGAAAGATTTGGACAATAGTCACCAACAAAAAAATAAGTTCAAAGATTAGATTCCTTTGGGTTGAAACTGGAAAAAAGAGGCATGTGTGGGGGAGGGGTGTTTGAGGAAAAAGTCAAAAAGCGCGGGTCCAATAGTTGAAATTTCGAAAAAGGAAAATTAGAATATAAACTTTTATATAAATAAATGTGGTTGAGCGGAGAAGGAAGCGAGCGGGACCTACGCCAGCTAATTCAAATCTCGGAGCTAGTGCCTGTTGGTTGACTAGGGGGTGTGCTTCGCTGGGTGCAGTGTACGAAACAATAAGGTACACCTGACTTGACGTGCTTTGCGTAATTTCACTCAACAATATGCGAAATTATTTGAAACACAATTTACTTGGAAATCACATCATTGTTTTGGTAACCATACGATTCCTCAATATATGACTTTTTCCCATTATTTTTCTTGCGCCAAGTATAACACTCTATCAATTAATGTGATAGTATGTGAGGAATTAGAGTGGGCTAATTATCTCATTTTTTTCAATGGAACTGAATAAGGTTATATTTGGAGAAATGTTCGATTTTTGAAAAAATTAATATTGTTAACTACCTCTAATTACAATTTTTTAGTCTACTATGTCCGGCTAAAAGGATCCTATGTTTAAGACTTTAGGTTGTGGACTCCAGTGAGCGTAATAAAACGGGACAATATGGTCACGATGGGTTGTCGGATGTCGAAAAGGGCTGTGGGAACTGTACTGATTTGTGATTACTGAAGCCACTTTTTCCGCCCACGAAATTACTGAACGCGAATTGCAAGTCAATGTTTTAGGCACTCTTTGGTGCATTAATACTATGCAGTATTTCAACCAGTTAAAGTTGAAGTTGGAATGAGTAGTGAAGACAATCTTCATTTTAAACAAGTAATTGAGAGTTCGAATCTCAATTCTTATACATATAACAATTTAATTATGAAAGGTTTATCATTTACTTTCTGTATAGAGAAATAATCTAGTATGCTGACTTAGAATTTGTTTTAATTCAAATTACACTTTTAAATTTCATTAATATACCGTTTTTTTTTCTTTTGCATGAAACTACTCAAAAGAAGATTTATAAAATGTAAATGAGGGAGTGGATGATTAAGTTTGTGGACAATTATGTTAAATTTTATGGGAAATTACACATAGGTCCTTGAAAAACAAACTTATTTATGAATAAGTCTTACAAAATTCATTATATAATATATTTTTAATAGAGATATCATTGTCTTTACACCCTCCTTTAATGGTATCTTTATTAAAATACATTATATCAATCAAGAAATTTGCAATCATTTTATTAGTAATTTATAACTATCATTTTAGCTTTTTGCAACTGTAACTTGACATATTCAATAATTAAATTAATCATGCCTTACAAGTTTAATACTAATTATATACAACTACCTCATCATTAATAATTTACAACTGTTGTTTTAATATTTTAAAATTATAACTTTACATATTTAATAGCTAAACTGATGGTACATTATTAACAAAGTTTAACACTAATTATTTACAAAGACATCATCGATAATTTATAATTATTACTTTAATTTTTCATAATTATAACTTTATATATTGAATAATTAAAGTGATCATGTATTACAAGTAAATATAGTATTGCTTTTGTATCCTAATTTTAAATTACACTCAAGTTTCAAGAGATCTTTGGCTGTAGTTTTTAAATTTTGTGAGATTTATTTGCAAACAAGTCTTATCCGTAGAACCTATACATATTTTTTCTTAAATTTTATGGTTAAATATTTACTTATGAAAATGATGGCTTGACGTTGAATTTGAAATGGTGTTCACCGTGGTAAGTACAAAGGTCAATGATCAATCTCGCAACACCATAGAGGCAAGGCAACTAATTCATCATTTGATTTGGGTGAAATCATTGATCAGTCCATGCGCATTAGTTGTGAATATGATAAGATAATACGGTGGAGAATCATATACAAACATCAACTCACCATAATCTCAACACCTATCATTAAACCCTTGACCCCAAACATTTGAAATTATTGAAAGAAGAATAGTAAATTCCAAAAAAAATAATGACACTTAGGTGTATGATAAAATATTGATCGCAAAACTTTGGGATAAATAAATGCAGCTAGCTCTATTGTCATTTCCCTTGTCTCGGTATGAATAAATGATGTAGTATAACTTTTGTATCTGTATATAATATTTTGCATCTATTTATCAAATGGATTTAATGGTCTGCCATAACTTTTCAGGATCCAAGAGATTGTGTCCTCATATCTTCTCATGGCTAACTCATGACTAATAATTCACTCTCTAAATTTTTGACTAGTGACTAGTCGGGTTGGCAACAATTTTGATAATTGCTTTTGAAAGGGAGGGCATTTTGGTAAGTGTACATGAAAATTAATTACCTCCAAGGACCTTAGGATTGTAGAATAATTTGTGTAATTGGTAGGACTTTAGAGTATTTTGTTGTTATTGGGTGGGACTTTGAAATGATTCTCCTTTAAAAATTCTTTTTGTTTTGATGTAGTGTGAGAAATTTTAAAGATAAAAGAGAGATGAGCTAAGAATTAAAGAAGAAATGAAAGATAATTAAAAATGATGAGGAGTTTACTTTTATTTTTATGATTGATGAAAGATGATGATGAGATGTGAGAAAGAAATGAGAATAACAGATGCATTGATAATGAAAACATGAGAGTCAGGGTACTTAAAATTCTAAATAATTATGATTTAGAAAGAATTTAAAATTATAAAAAGACTACAACGAAATATGAATTTAAATTTGGATCAAATTTAAGTTTATAAACTTGTAAGTTTTCAAATAAAAAAATTGATTCAAATATAAATTCATATCTAAATTCCCATGTATCCAATTGTAACTTAAATGAAGTAATTTAATGTAATTTAAAAGTTAGTTGGGATTGATTTAGGTATGTCAAATTGAATAAACAAAAACCCAACCATACGTCAATCAGTTTCCACGTTATAAAAAATGAACATGAACACTTTACATTCAGTTTTGTTGTTGTTTTCTTTTTTAAATTCAGTCTCTAGTTGAAATTGAACTAAGTTGGTTGGAGTTGAAAGGAGCTTTCCAAATGGGACGCCAACCTACACTTGTGAGTTGATGGAATCTTCACTTGGAAAAACATAATGAGATGTTGAGATTTGAACCAATAATGGAATCAGGTCATGTGCCAGCTTGGATTTATCCCTGTCTCCTTCCTAATCCTTCAATGGTCCATCCACACCATGTATCTCTTTGCCTCAGCTACCGTATCTCCATTTTAGAGAATGTCTCTCTTTTCCTACCTTTTTTCTTAAAATAATGTTATATTATACATATATAATTAATAATATTAACAAACCTTGCTGCTTGACAATCTATTAACAAGTTATGGAGTATGATGTGATAACCCCAAAAGAAAATTCAAATTATGCTATAAAATATAATATAAAGGATAAAAAAGAGTGGTTTCAAAGCTAATAGAAAATTAACTTCTTCTTTTTTTCAAAAAGAAAAAAGAAATAATGATCAATAATATATATATTGGATAACCGCAACATATATACTTTATAACAAGAGATAAAATAGCTAAATTATGTATTGATAAATCATAGAAATAATAATAATCAAATATTGTTTATATTTTTCAAACATTACAACTTATCTTGAATCTTGAATTATATCTGAGAGATTATTTAACATCTAAGAGGAAAAAAAGAGAAGTATCGATTTTTTTTTTTAAAAAAAAAATTCTTTAAGCGATTCGGAAACGTAAACCTATTTTCTAACTCCACTCTCTACTTTCAACAATTATATGGTCTGCTTGTATGTTCTCGTCTTTAATCTTTATCCATGTAGCTCCCTTCTTCCATACCATTCCTTCTTTTCTTCATTCACAGCTCTATTACGACACATACATTGTTGCATTGAAGTGATCCTATAGCCAGCTACTTATTCATACTATCTCCTATTGATAGCGTGATCTAGCAAAACTTGTTCGGTGAGAACAATTCTTTTATGCATCCCTTAATTAAGAGATTGAGGGCTTTTATCCTAAGCTGCTCCTTCATAGATATATATATCATTTAGTACTCCGTCCAAGATAATTCTTACTTTCGATTAATGTTTAGATTATATTTAAATTAGAAACACTTGAGTTATTGTAGCCACGGTTTTTAAACTAGGAATTTGGGCTTGGGATAGTACAGGAAATATGTATAATTAATGAGAGGTGAATTTTGATTATGAGAAATTTATATTGGTGTTTATATAAACAGATTATACATATGTAATACTTGTGAGAATTCCTCATCAAACAGTGTTGAGTTTTAGAGTTGTTAAAATGGATATTTACTATGATCTCAATTGGTGAGTGTATGAATAGTAGGATGGCACGTTTTGTATCCACCTTTACCATGTTTTCTAACCTTAGTTGTTCTTTTCCTTTTTGTTCCTAGTCTATTTGAGAAGCAAATTCCAGATTTTTTTTTTATATTCGATGTTTCTAGATCATAAGAATTTGTGTCAAATGTTTTCACTTTGATTAATATTTTTGTTTGTTTAACAATTTATAATTTATTGAATTTAAATTGTGTGATGATGATTATGGGTATTGATATTTCAATCAAAGTGATACTTTTATATTCCTTTTGTGACACTATATTTTCCCTCTCCTTTTATAATCAATTCTATTTTCAATTTTCAGGATTTCAAAAATAAAGTTGAGGCATATTTTTTTAATAGATGAATTTTTTCAATAATCTATGAGCCTTTATTTGATTTCATTTTTCTAGCCCATGATTCATTTAATTGTGGTGTGTGTGGTATCAGGTGAAATGATTATTCCTCTAGTTATATGACATATTAGATAATATA